AAGCATGTATACAATATACATTAAACCCCAAAAATAATAAAACACTAAGAGAATAAACATATAACAACCCTTACCTAAATTGAGAATAGAATCTCTATAAACCAAGACAAACAAAGGAATTTCAAGAAGCCCTTCAAGGGTTATGTAGAGGAAGATGAAATCGTCCAAGACTTAAGCTAAAATGTCAAGGGAAATGGTTCAAAATGAAGCTTAAAGCTCTAATTCAAACTTTGCTTCAATTAAGACAAGGTTATGGTTACAGAGAAAAATGAGGAAAGAGAAGAGAGATAAGATAGAATGAGTGAGTGTAGGATTATGTATTCCTCCCCCTCACTATGTGCACTAGCACTACCTCTCTCTCACACACACTTTGGATAATTACACAAAAACCCCTCTTTCCAAAAATAATCCCAAAATATTCTAAAATAATTGCAAAAGGGTCCCTCCTCTAAATATCTCATAAATAATGTAAGATAGTTTTTAAGACAAAAAATAGTTACAATATTAGTTTTTAAGAGGAAAAATAATTACAATATTTAATTACACAAAAACCTTAAAAGTAGAAAATGTTTCCTAAGAAACGATGCATCCATGCCCATTACAGAAAGGTAAACAAGTAGCATGTTTTTCTAAAAAAGTAAGACTACACATTTTATAGAAATCAAATGTAATGGGTGAATGCAAAGTTAGGATCAAATCTGAGCACAACCATGAGGTTACTTGAAAGGAATCGACAAACGGAAAAAAGACAAAAAAAGAAGAATGCCGGAAAAAGTGAAAAGATGACACAGTCCTCACAAGGACGGTACCAATCTCCAAAAAGAATAAGTCTGATGAACTATCCCCGAGTACTCAAGACGATCCGAAGGGACAAAACCTGAACTTAGAAAAGAAATTTTAACGGAAAAAAAAAAAAATCTGTAAAAATGGAAAAAAGAACCGGTCATTACACTTTAGTTAAGGTGGAGCTATAAAGAGATTATAGTTTGAAGTGGAGCTATGTTTAAGCATGTATGTGAGGACATAGTTTGATCACGTGTTGATTACGTGAATGATTTAGGAGGTTCAAGTTTGTTGATTGGGTTTTTATTTTGGCTTATCTTCGGCTATTGCCAAAGTTGAACTAGTTCAAATGGAGCTGAACTAGTTTGACCTAGGTGTGTAGTTTTTTTGGCTTTGCCTAATGTCAAAGTTGAACCAATTTAAATGGGGCTGAACCGGTTCAACTTGGACAGTGAGTTACTGGAAGCTGCGAGAAACTGTTTTATAATTACTTTTGGAAGCTAGAAGACTTAAGAAAAAAGCTGAAGATTTGGGAAAGAAGTTGTACCTGCTATTTTAGAGTTGAAGACTAACATGGTAACTCCTTGTAAGCAAGTTGATCCTTATCCAATAAGAAATTGGGTTTGAAGACACTATAAATAGAGATGGGTATGAGAGGTTGAGAGAAAAAGAAAATTGTAGAGATCGAGAAAGATAGAGTTAAGATTGTGGGAGAGAAAATAGTGTGGAGTTAAGTTTTTGAAGTAAAGTTAGTCGTTTTTCACCCGTGGACTAGGCAATTTGCCAAACCACATAAATCTTTTTGTTTTTTTTGCTTGTGTGTGTATTTTTTATCTATTATATTTGCCAATTATGTGTGTGAAACCCTAACATTTCATTCGTGTCTTCCGTCCATATTTAGATGGAAGAAAAATTGCGAAGGAGGAAGAATGACTCATCCATCCTTTTTTCTTTTCTCTCCTTGCCTTTTCTCTGCCAAGCAAAAGAAATTTGTTTTTCTTTCATGTCTTCCCTCCACCCATCTTCCTTCCTTTTTGTTAAACGGAGCATAATGTCACGAACTTGGACCTTTCCAAGCTCACCTAGTTGCGAGGGCGTAACAATAAGCCAGGATGAAAGCTATGACATTAAAATGAAGTAGAAAATTGTTGTGGAGAGGGACATTTTTTTCAGCTTCTTCTCCATGTGTTTAGTTGAAGTTTAGCTGGTTAGATAGCAAATGCATATCAGGGGTAGTTGGGACCAATGAGGGCAATTGGCCCAATTGGACTTTTGTGTTATTAGTAGTTTTTATACTACAGTTCCTTACAAAAAAAAATTTTAAAAAAAAATAAATAAATAAATTAAACTCACTGTACAATTTTTTTTTTTTCTTTTTAAAAAAAGGAAAACCATTTTTTTTTAGCTCAACTAGGCCTCAAAAAATTTTTAAAATCAAAATTCAGAAAAGACCCTTACTTTTTCGTGTATAAATTTTAGTTCAAAATTTCTTATCATACTATTATTAATGGTTGCCCCCTGTGAAGTCAATTCCTAGCTCCGCCACTGCATGCAAAGTTTTGATATTCTAAAATGAAAAGTAAGACCAACAGGCCAGTTGCCTAGTGGTACCAGAACCCTACTTTCCAAAAGGAGGTTAGGAGTTTGAACCTCTATGAAGACATGTGTTTGTGAGTACCAACTAAAAACAAAAAACAAAAGGTAAGACTTTAATGTCCTTCTTATGTCCAAGAAAATGATTTCTGGGTGGATAACTACCTTTCTCATATTCACAATACTGAATCCTCTTTCTTATTCCTAATACAGGAATCATATATTTGTCTTTTAAGATCTAGATGAAATCCTTCACCTCTTTTGGATGAATCCGATAGATGTTTCGACTTATAAGGAATACTAAGCAGTTTCTCACAATTTTATGGTTTGGCCAAATGTTGAAAAATATATGATTCATATGACATTTAAGATATAACTAACATTATACTAATATGTGCCATTAGATAATTAATAATATGCTAAAAATAATTAATTAAACATGTAAATTAAAGAAATAAAATAATAATAATAAATAAAGAACCTGGACTGAGGCTAGTATCAGATACTATGTCCTTAAGACAATTTACGCCTCGTATGGTGCTGACGGACTCTATGACGCTTGCCTCCCAGGATACAACGGTCTACATCCACCGGTGGCAGCACTACAAACTTGTGGAAATGTGAACCTCCTCCGTGTAATATTCTATCTGACTTTAAAAAATGCATCTATACTATATAAATACTAAATTAGGTGCAATTTGAACCAAATGGTTCAGACTGCTCGATGAAATTGGATTAGGGTCTAAGTGACTTGAACCACTTGACCTATGGTTTAAACCCATTTTGGTGGGGTTCAAGTCTAGAGAGGAACAGAGAAGAAAATGAATTGAACGATTTGTAAATGACAGCCCAATGTAGTATTTATAGAAATAGAGGTGCCATTTCGGATTGGACGTGTTTATTCATCATTGGACACAACCATTTATATGTGTCTATTCATCATTGGATACAACCATTTATACGTGTCTCTTTATTATTGGATACAATTATTGCAATATGTTGCAATTGTTCATATTGAATAGGGTTATGTCTGTTATCTTTTAATCCCATAATCAATTAGTGATCACACATATCCAGTCAAAGACAATTATTAATGACTAATGAAACAATTTTCTTTCAAAAATTCTGACACCAAATTGGTCTGAATTTCTTAATGTGGAGTTACGTATGTATAGTAGGAGAGCAACCTGCTTAAGGAATTTTTTGAAATTATTTTTTTGTCCTTTGTATGAGAGTTTGTAAAACTAGTGAACTGAGAACTCCACCAGATAAGGAAACAATATTATTTTACAGTGCAAGTGAAATGTACGTAGTGACAAAGGAAGTCAGTGTCATTATCTCAACGTTTTCTAACTTTCATTAGTAGACATATAAATTGTAAAAACGCATATAAAATCAAATCGACCACTGTTCAAGAAATGTTCTTGTTCATAGACCTCCACATCAATTGTCAAGCGGCTATGGAATTGCTAGGATGAACACTTTTTACCTTCATGGTTTGCTTTTTGAAACGGCATATGCTTTTGTCTCAAGTGAAAATTGGAATGTCAAGGGAACTACTTTCCTATCCATCTTTGGTATTTTGGCGGAAATTGCTTCAAATAAATAAATAAATAAAACTTTCGCCTATGATGAAATGAAGTCCATGTTGTATTATTACAAGTAGGAATTCACCATAACAAAGACTTGAGCGCACTAGAACTCTGTTAGCTAAGCAATCATATTCACGAATTTAAAAATATATACAAAACGACCCAAAAGTTTTAGGAACCACATAAAAGAGCCTCTTCAAAAGTACAGCTTATATCAACCATAAGTTCAATACCTTTTCAATAACGTATATCAACCACTTCTGGTTCTCATTTCCCAACATCTATTGCAATAGCAGCGTGTAATACTAAAACTGTTGATTGGTGACAAGGTAGGCAATATACTCCATTGGTCTCAAAATAAATATCCACCTCTTTATTTTTATCCTTATCCATTCCAAATTAAATATTTAAATCCTTTAATAATATCATATGGTGTACGTATAATAATACTTACTTATTGGCAGTTTGAGGGAGACACATATTTTGTCCCTGTTATCTTTGATTCGGACTCTTATGGTGCTTTCTGAGCAAGCCTGATTAATATAATGAATTCACTTCGGATATGGTCCAGTAATTTACTCACTGAATTTTGGAGCTTAGCAAACTTATGATATGGGGTTCGAGTTTCGTTAGATGTTCTTTGTAATTAATCTCTGCTGTCTCTGTAGTGACTTATCCGACTTGGATAGGGAGGCGCTCTTTTGAATTTTCGAAGATTAATAGAATTGTTAAGTAACTCTTAAGAGTTCATGTTTTTCTGGACACGGAGTTAACTAAAAAAAAAAATTGATCAATTTAATGAAAGAATGTTTTCTAGCTTTCTTTATTGGAGTATAACATATCTTTACAGACATTTATTATCAAATCAACAAGATCAAAATTCAAAAAATGTTGTTGTATTTGCCAGCAACGCCGTGCATGACATCACTTGCATTATTGTTTTTCCAAACTTACAAAACCAGATGGTGTGGTCCTGTGTCATACAATCACTTCCGTCCAAAAATTTTTAACTTCTCAAAATCACATAAAAAGAGCCTGTCAGAAGATAACATTTATCAAACATGAAAAGAACCAAAAGTTCAATGCCTTCTCAATAGCATATATCAACCACAGAAATATTTCTTCTTCTTCTTCTTCTTCTTCTTCCCAATCTCATCAGCTACTGTAATAGCAGTGTAGCAATACTACAGAAATGACAATGAAGAAAGCAGAGCTGTTGTTCATCCCAGCACCCGGAAGTGGTCACCTCACAGCTGCAGTGGAGATGGCAAAGCTCCTTGTGGACCGCGATGAACGGCTCTCCATTACAGTCATCATAATGAAGATGCCCTCTGATTCCAAGGCCATCACACAAACCCAATCGACAGCCGAAGACGACAATTCACGCATACGTTACATGGACCTCCCCCAAGACAGTCCAGAACTCAAGTCCAAGGTCGGCTTCGGCTTCATCGATGCCCTCATCGAAAGCAAGAAGACTCACGTGAGAGATGCCGCTGCCGGGATAACTGGGCTAGCAGGGTTGGTTTTGGACATGTTTTGCACCACCATGATCGATGTGGCCGACGAGTTTGGAGTCCCTTCATACGTCTTCTTCACGTCCAGCGCTGCTTCTCTCGGCTTCATTTTCCATCTCCAGTCCCTCCAAGACGACCAAAACCAGGACTTTACTGAGTTGAAAGGCTCTGATGCTGAGTTGTCAGTCCCAAGTTTTTCCAACTCAGTTCCTATTAAGGTTATGGCTTCTTTGTTGCTGGAGAACAAAAGTGAGTGCAGAAAGTTCCTTGATCACCCCCGAAGGTTCAGAAAGACCAAGGGCATAATTGCCAACACGTTCACGGAGCTAGAATCCCATGCCGTGAAGTCCCTATGGGACGGCAACACCCCGCCGGTCTACCCAGTGGGACCTGTACTCAAGCTCAAGGGTGATGAAGGGACTTGCCAACAAGACGCCATCATGAGCTGGCTTGACGACCAGCCTCCTGCATCAGTGGTTTTCTTGTGCTTTGGGAGCATGGGATGCTTTAGTGAACCCCAGGTGAAAGAGATCGCACATGCACTAGAGCAAAGTGGCCACCGTTTCTTGTGGTCCCTACGCCAACCTCCGCCAAAAGGAATGATGCTTCCGGGGGAGTACGCCAATCCTGATGAAGTATTGCCGGAGGGGTTCCTGGAACGAACAGCGGAGATAGGGAAAGTGATTGGTTGGGCTCCACAGGTGGCAGTGCTATCACATCCGGCGGTGGGAGGGTTCGTGTCACATTGCGGGTGGAATTCTATATTGGAGAGCGTGTGGTGCGGAGTGCCTATGGCAGCATGGCCACTCTATGCTGAGCAACAGCAGAATGCATTTGAGATGGTGAGGGAGTTGGGGTTGGCGGTGGAGATCAAGATGGACTACAGGATGAATTCCGATCAGCCGGTACTGACCGCGAAGGAGATAGAAAGCAAGATAAGGCTGCTGATGATGGAGGATGGTGAAATCAGGAAGAAGGTGAAGGAGATGAAGGAGAAGAGCAGAGAAGCCATGATGGAGGGTGGATCATCCTTCATCTCCCTTGGACATTTGATTGACGACGTGATTAAAAATATGGAGTCCCACTCGCACTAATCCGTTGTCAGAGTAGAAAAATATCTTCTTGCTAGCTCCATGTTTTCTGTACATTCTGAGAGCAGCATAATTCCAGTTTCTTCCATGAATCAAAGACTGTACCAGCACATTGAATGCACTCTTTGAAGAACTCACGCTAGTCTTTGCCTCTTTTCAACTGAGCACCTATTGTATTGAAGCATCTTCAAGCAAAGTCAATTTTCTAGAAAGTTATCTCTACAAACACACACGAAGATGTAAAACCAAATTTCAATTGTGTGCATGGCTGTAAACAAGTTATAGATTCTTAGATAACTTAGTTTATATTTAACACAATCAAAAGAATTTGCAGAGTCATCTGACAGCATGGACCTAATATTTTTTTTTTGGTTTGAAGAATTATGATAAACACCAGTAAAAAAGAAATTTGAAAATAAGAAGAAAAATATGGACAAAACAAAAACAAGTGGCAAACTTTCAAAGATATTCCATGAAAATTCTACTAAACTTGAAATTACCTGAAATTTCACACGAACGGAGTTCTAATTAACCAAACATAACTATCACCTATATTTAATCATGAAAAAGTCTTATTTTATCTTAGCAAGCCTGGGCCATATCGAAAGTACTATTATAATGCCAAAAAGGTGACGACGTTTTCCTTTTCCACAACTAAATTTTTTTTTTTATTAATGTTTTGGTGTACCAAATTCATAAAGGAAAGCCAAACTGCATTACTTTAGCAGAAGTAACATGAGTCTGAGGCCAGCTAAGGTCAACATAGTTAGATCAGTTGAAAGGCTACCAAGTGATTTCAGCCAAAAATAAAAATAAAAATTTTAAATAAGAAGAAAAATATGGACAAAACAAAATGCAGTAAATTCTCCAAAATCATCTCCAATCCCCGGATGATCCCCATACAGGCATACATTGTGGCTCCGATTATATCGCAATCAGCAGAAACAGGTACACTATATAAGATTACTGAATCTGTTGAAGAATATATTAAATTAATTGTGCAAGTTGAACCACAAACACATCGATCATAAATCAGCGTCGTTCCACAACAAAGTAAATAGAAAAATTGTGATGCTCCTTGGATAAATTCCTTCGTAGTTTATATAGCATTTGAACAAGTGTTACAAGTCCATTTATTAAATGTTCAAAAGAATATATAAAATTGGACAATTCACTGCACAAAGAGGATTATTACATGATTTAATGAATTGGCGTTTGAGGTTTCTTAACATGGATCAATCATGGTGACTTCAACTTTTTCCAGTAATGACTACTTGTTTGCTATTAGAATCACTGTAAAAGGGAATAACAAAACTAACAAATCGTATCATATGCTGAAACTATTTTTCAAAACATATAAAAATGATCTCCATTGGGAGATACAAAAGGAAACGTTCTTTAAACATGCTCACACACTTCTTTTTATTAAATTTTAGCAGTGTCGAAACCAACAATGGTAGAAGACCACAACCAAACAAATCGAGGACATCTAACCTGACTAACCTAGCACAAGATGACATGACATCAACACGTCAACACAGTGCATCGGTAAAAAACAATGCATCATGTTACTTTATTCACTATATCATCTAGTATTACCATGATTGCAATAATTGAGGTATGTGCACAGGTGGGCTTAGACGAGAAAGAGAGGGGAGGCCAAAATGGTCGTAACTAAAGTAACAGCCCACACCAAGCATTCACTAAAGCACACCAAAGCATTAAAATATTGCACATTGTCAGTCAATATTTATCATGTAAATATCATTTTGTGAAAAATCCATTAGGTTTTGTTTTGTTCGTTAAAAGTAGTTATAGACTCTTGGGAGTTCAAACTTGTAATATCTGATGATTTTTATAGTTATATGGGTGGTTGGGAAGGTGTAACACATGACGCAAAGGTCTTGACTGAAACCATGCATTATCTCGAGAACAACTTTACAATTCCTCCACTGGCTTAGTTGGCAAAAATTATGCATGATACCGAGAACCAAACTTTCCAGTTCCTACACCAATTTGTGTGATGCTGCCTATATTATATATACACATGGATTCATGTACCCATCGCAATGTGCGATATTGATCAGGTGACTTTTGGAATATAGCGATTATATGAGAACAAAGAAAGAGCTATTTATCCATGCACATTCCAAGCTAAGGAATTTTATTGAGCATGGTTTTGGAGCCTTGAAAACTTGTTTCCCAATCTCGGAAAGGATGGAACCTTTTGCATTTGGAAGGTAGAGAAATATCGTTATTGGTTGTGCAATTATTCACAATTATCTTTGAAAAACAACCACCACATACGAACTTTTTGAACAATATGATAATGGGGATTTTTAATTTGAGAATTCCTCTAAAAACGTTGAAACTTTGACCTACTCTGAATTTAGCAGAGAAGGAAGGCAATTTGACTAAGTGTGTATGGTTAATTTCACAGCCAAATTGCAAATGAATTGATTAATTCTCATGTTTAAATTTTTGTTTGCAATTAGAGACATTTGTTTTTCAGTTCCTGTTCACGAATAACTTGAATAATGTACATTTTTAATTTAGTAGTAATTTTTATGACTAGTTTTGATATTATTATTCATTGTTAAATTGACATATTTGTTTGAATAAAATTGATTGTAGCTTTAGTTTTTTTTATAGGATAACAGTGTAATAAACAGTTTTCAGATTTTAACTTTTGTATATATCAAACAATTTTTATAAATTCAACATTTCAAATTTAAACAGTATCAAACAGATTTCCAGATTTATAAATTCAGCACTTAAAAATTTATAAGTTCAAATTTAGTGTATAAAATTTCCAGTGCTTAGGTTTCTAATTTTTATCAAAAATTTTATAATCTTGTTTGGCATGCGTTTTGTTTCTGTTGTTTTTGTTTTTGGGCTGCTACAGTGTCAATTTTGGCAATAAAAGTATGTTTGGTGCGGCCTTATTTTATTTTATTTTACATGGTATTAAAATATTTCGTAAACATTGGCTCAAAACTAAAACAAAAAAAATTGGTGTTTTTAGATGTTTTAGTAGTGTGGCGGCCCAAACAAAACTATAGCGGCCCAAACAAAATTATACGCAACATGTTGGCTCACGTATAAAAGCAAAAGTTAAAACATTGTCTTTAACTAAAAAAAAAAAAAAATAGTTCAAACATTGTAGCCCATTTTGCCCTAGATTTTCTCTCTCCTCTGGCTCTTGCGATTTTGGAGGCAACCGCGATATGTGAAGAAGAAACTCAGTTCATAAAAGGTGCATCTCCTCTGAAGCCCTAGACGTTCGATTTAGTGTTTTTGTAAGTCCTCTGAAGCCCTAAAAGTCCTTACAACTTACAAGTCTGCAACGATAAATCGTCTATTCTTGTCTATCTCTCTGCAAAATCTCTCTCTCACACTCACACACAAACTGGACACTGAAATGGTAGAAAGTAAAGAATCCATGTCGTCAAGTGCACTGGGTCAAGGTGCCCGTGTTGAAGATGCCGAAGATCATGCCAAGTCTCCTCCTAATTCCCCCAATTCTTCCACTCGTACGGTCAAATCTCTCTCTCTCTCTCTCTCTCTCTCTCTCTCTCTCTATATATATATATATATAGAATATGAAATGTTCATACATTAGTTGATATATGTTTCCCCTATATATGTTCATTCCACTATAACTGTTAACTGTAAAACCCCAAGACTCATGGATCTGCTTTGGTTTCCAATCATTGTTTAGCAACGACGATTCACCTTGTGCTATTGGATTTCCAATAAAATGTTATGTGAGATGATTTATTTTACGCAATTTTACTCTTCGATGTTAGTTACCCATAAATAAATATAAATTAAAAAGAGGGAAATTTGGATACATTGTCATATATCTAGTATGTGATCACTTTAGGTTCTTTCAGCCACAAATTTTAGCAAATGATACTGATCTCATTTTATCCAGTACTCATTTTTTCTTGGTAATTGCCATTCAATGGATGAACAACTACTGAAGGTGATGATACTAATAGTTAGACAATGTGAATCAATTGTTGACTTTAAGATATGGACAGCAATGATGACTAGTGGGACAATAATACTACAGCGAATTTAATAAACATAATGGATGGATAATCTATGTTATTTTCCAAAGTTGGGTTCCCCACCCCCTTGTTTGTGTAAGAAGAACGCATGCATGTTTTTAGAAAATTGAGGGAAAAGATTCATTCATGCATTTGTGCACCTCTTTTTCACCCAAAAGAGAAATGAATTGTGATGTCTGATAGCATTACATTTAATTTGAGGAGTATATCCAAGGGTGTAATTGTTGACTTTAAGATATAATCAAATCAAAAGTAAGTGATAAAGAAGAAGAAGAAAAGGAGAAGAAAGCGGATAAGAGAAAAAGAGAGAGAAGGGGAAAGGGAGAAAGAATGAGAAAAAGCTTTCGTCCTGTTCTTTTCCTTGGGTAGGGGTATAGATGAGGGAAGGCGAAGTCAGGTTTGATGGTCATGTTAATATTTGCGGCCTTTAGATGGTGTTAGTTTTCTTTGACAAAATTAAAGTTTCCTTGTAAATGTTGAGTGATAGTTTGCCATTTTAATAAGAGAGGTCAATCTTTAACAATGGGGAGTGGCTATTGATAAAATCAAATGTTTTTTCTTATTTGAGGAGACACCAGGAATTAAGTAAAGAGTGTCTGATTCATTGGCATTGCTAGACGATCAATGTGTATTCAGAAGCATGTGGAGTGTGGCAGTCAGATGATTTATACATATTGAAACTTTCCTGGCACTTGGTGGAGTTGCTTTCAGGTGTTGATTAATCCTTTTCGTAGAAAACCACACAGGAAAATTATTTTTCCTAAACTCCGGAACCTTAAGATTTTGGGTACTGGAGTCCTTAAAAATCTAAGAAGGAATATCATTGTACTGAACAAATGAAATTGTTCAGAAGCATGGATATGGGACAGGACATAGATACAAATTACAATGTAGGTAGGATGTAGACACGTTGAAGACATGGCAACTAAGTATAGGTTTTTATATAAAAATCCGCAGCAAATAAATATTCTATGATAATAAATATTCATCATCTTGAATGGATTTCATTTGAAAAATAGTATTTATCATCTTGAATAAATATGGTTCGAGCTCCTTTACTATAAATATCTTAATCCAAAATAACATTTTGAGCTATAATGTGCATGTGCTTCTTGTAGTGTAATGCAACTATTATGATGGGATTCAATTTGAGGTCCTCTTCTAAAATTCAGAACTAAGCTTGAAAAAAATTAATCCTTTTTCAAACTTACATTACTTCATTGTTTATTGTCATGCTATAGACAATTGGGTAATGTTTGACTT